GTATGGCTTCTGGATTTTAAGTCATAGCTAAAAAGGACTTCTCCAGTCACAGATAATATGGTAACTCACTCATGTTTCTTTTGTAATGTTAGTTTTATATTTTTTACAATTAAATGTTTTATATACTTAGCTTTATCCTGATATACAGTGAGATATGAATACAAACTCATTTTCTTCCAAATGGCAACCCAATTGTTCAACATCATTTATTCATCTTTAATCTACTGATTTAAAGTGATGTCTTTATCATATTTCAAAATTCCTACACATATTTAGATCTATTTCTGAGTCTTTGCTTCATTAGATTCTCTCTCTATATATAGGTGTCAATAATACACCATCTTAAATATTAAGACTTTACAGTATATTTTCAAATCTGATCGGACTAGCTCCTCATTGCCCCTTTTCAGAATTTCCCAAACAGTTACTGCAATTTGTTTCCATCTGAACTTTAGAATCTGCTGTCTAGCTCCAGATATCACTCCCTACAGTAAAAATAATAATAAAGATAGCATTTTATTGTGATTGCATTATTTTACAAAGCAACGTAAAAGAAACAGACTTTATGACATTGGGAGTGAAAGTGTGTTAAAAACTCTCATACCTTAAAATTTGTATTCATCTTTCCAAAGTTATATGAATTTACTGATGTATAACTTTATCCTTGTGTATAACCAATGAAAGCTAAAACATGTAAATAATCTTATAACATCACTGAGAGCTCATGAAATAGTACTGCATTACTAATGACACAAAAGCAATGAATAGTCGCTGGGTCTCATACCTATAATCCCAGCAATTTAGAAGAGCAGTGAGGTGAGAGGATTGCTTGAACTCAGGAGTTTGAGACCAGATTGGACTACATAATGAGATCTCATCTCTACAGAAAGCTGGGGAAAAAAAATAGTTCGGCAAGGTGGCACACACCTGTAGTCCCAGCTACTCTGGAGGTTGAGGCGAAAGAATCACCTGAGCCCAGTTAGTCAAGACTGTGGTGAGTCATGATCATACCACTGTACTCCAGCATGGGTGACAGAGTGAGAATCCGACAAAAACAAACAAACAAACAAACAAACAAACAAACAAAACTCACAGACCTTTTTTAAGATCATTACATATATTCACTTTAATCAGGTTTTACAATTCAACAGTCATTCTTCATAGACTAAAATAGAGCTGGAAAACATATGTTCTGAGGATTATTATAATTTTATTTCAGCTTTATAAGACATTATTTGGGCATGCAAAGTAATTTGATTTCTAAAACAAAATCAAAGCATTTATGTAGTTCACTAGGTATAGAATTTAAAATGTAATAAAATACACAGCTCCCTCATTTCCTCCCAAAATCCATTAAGTACTCCACATACAAAATGTTCGCTTTGTGTGGTAATACAAAAATTATTTACTTATCTTTAAAAAGTAGTGTCATATTCTGCATAGACAATTTCTTGGTTCAACCAAATGTAGAAATGGATCAGTATTCCATTGTGAAATACTGCCTTCCTTCCCACACCAGATGGAAGGTACTGTCATCTTTACAAGAAAAACTGTCACGTGTCTTACATGTTTAAAGAGATCTCAATAAGTATTTTTATGATGAACACTTTTGATTTAATTAAATACATTCAAACGTAACCAGTGAACCCAAATGTTATTATCTTCTTTTCCTACTTGGCAACTTTCAAATAATTTTTTTCAAACAAACAGATCCTAAAATTCAGATTCAGGTTGATAACAAATTGTCTAAGAAGATAGGCATGGTGGCATGTGCCAGTCCAGCTATTTGGAAGGCTGAGGCAGAAGGACTGCTTGACCCAGGAGTTCGACTCAAGCCTGGGCAACACAGCAATATCATGTTGCCCACCTAACTCCCCACAAAAAAAGAAACTATGACTCTTTTCAAAGAAGAAAGTGTTTGTTTCTTTTTTGGTAAAGGGAACAGAGCAAAACAATTTGGTAAACCTCACATTCTAAAGCTTGGCTTTCCATTTATAATTCATAATGATATTATGTTCTCAATAATAAAAAAAAATCTTTTTCAATAAAATTTTTGACTAAAATAAGAGTTATATTTATGGCCAATAGTTTTGTTTATGGCCAACATAATAGTTATAACCCTTATTCTCTCTTGTAGATTGTTTTAAACTAAGGAAGACGCTTTAATCTAAGAAAAACTTCAATATTTATGATAGCAGAACAGAATATTTCTATACAAATACAGCAAATCTGAATGATTTATTTTCATCTAGCAAAGTGCTAATGTCTAAACTATTTCATCATTATGTATAGACCCAAAATATTGTGTAAGAAGTATAGAATAACAAATACAACACACAATCCTTCTTTGCCTATATAGAACCCAAATGATTTTATGTTACAAGGGTACAGGTACAGTAAATGAAAAAAAGCTTGCAATTTGGGATAAATGACAAGTATTTCAACATGTACTGTAATGTTCAAATGAACCACATGAAATCATGACAGTATTTACAGAATTTTGAAAATAATCCTTACAATAATTACAATTGATCAAAATATGTCCCAAGTACTTAACACATTTAAGGTAGAGCGCAGTTTAGGAACAGAAGGCCTATTTTTTACTTTAACAATTTTTTCCTCAATCTTGTAACAAACACACATACAAATATAGCTATGATATAGAAGGTTATAAATGTGAGTAAAGTATTATGAGAATTCTGATGGAAAAGAGAAGAAACAGGCCTAGAGGAAGTCAGAAAGGATTCATAATGTGACACAATGAAACTTGAAGGGGGATAAATATTCAACTAAAGATAACATGTAAGATGGAGACATAAAAAAGCAAGTGAGGCTGGATGTAGTACAAGTTGTTTGATTTCTAGGAAATGACGAGTTGAGAGAAAAGTTTTAAAAGAAGAATAGATTTATAGGAAAATTTCAGAGGGTTGAGTCATGACTGGATAGCATGAGAATAGAGCCAATATATTACCAGTGGGACACTAAAGAGACAAAGAGAAGACCAAAACACAGAGGAGAGACCAATACATGGAAAGGAGAGACCGACAAGAGACACTGAGGAGAGTCTGAGAGACAAAGAGTAAATGAGACACTAACAGTAGCCAAGAAGGAAGACTGAGAGGGACAAAGAGGAGAAGGGACAGAAAGAAAGAGAAAATGCTGCTATAAACTGAATGCTTGTGCTTTCCCAAAATTCTTATGTTGAAACCCTAACCCTCAATGTGATGGTTTAAGGAGGTAGGAACTTGGGGAGATGATTAGGTAATGAGGGTTGAACCCTCATAAATGGAACTAGAGCCCTTGTAGAAGGAACTCTCAAGGAGCTCACTCGTCTTCTTTCTGCCATGCAAGGGTTCAGTGAGAAGTCTGCAGTCTGTAACCCAGAAGAAGGCCCTCACAGAGAACCCAACCATGCTGGGAGAAATAAAAGCTTCTTGTTCAAGTCACCCAGCCTATGGTATTTTGTCATAGCAGTCTGAACTAAGGCAGGCATATATTAGGGAAAAAGCAAAAAGATAATTATTTTGTTGGTGTTGGGTCAAAGGCTTTGTGAATGTTTCCAGGCAAAGAAAAAAGCTGAGAGGGAATGAGAATATCAGCATGAGAGAAGACTAATAAGACTAACAAAGCATCAACCCAGAAAAGGTGCAGGGAGAGTTCAAAAAACAGTATGAGTCAACACTTACAGGGTTTAATATAAAAAGGAAAAATACTGAAGAAACACAATGAATAGCATTAATCAAGATAAATAGTAAAGGAGAGATCATATGTTGAGATTCAGTGGGATACTATCAAGCACGAAGAAAAAATTCAATATATGTTTGCTGTAAAAATAATCAAGAATGTTAAGCAATCCCATCAGCCTCAGCCAACTTCTGCTGAGCTTTTTGCAGCCTAAATACAATGAAGACATACTTATATTTGTAGTTAGCCTTGGATTTCAACTTTCTCCAAGTGTCTAGTACTTTGCACTTAGTTATTTGCACAAACAAGAGTTTAAGAACATTTTGCAATGCTTTTTTCTCATCAAATTTAAAAAAAGTGTCCAAAAAATGGATAAGTAATCTATACAAAGCAAAACCCACAGAAAATTGGGCAATTTGTTAGTAAAGAAACACTGTAAAACCTGGTCAAGTAACTAAAAAATTAGTTAGGTACCTGTTACTGTTATATGCCTCTGTAGTGGATACTAAGAATGCAGTTATAAATAAGACAATAGAACATGGCTAACATATTCTTTTTTTTAAGGAACACAAAATCTCAACTACAAACTCTCAATTCCCCCCCAAAATTTGTTTGTTCTAATGGATAGTTTACTGATAAGAAAAGCCTTCTCAAAAGTATTTTTTCAGTCATTTGCTAAAAGGTTAGTGAGAGCTGACAATCTAGAGGAGAGGGGAAAACACAAATTTAGGCTTCCATCACCTCATTATAAGCCCAGGGGACTTTGTCTTTATGCCTAAAAGCATGATGACAGTAGCATCAGCAAAAATAATCCTCTAGGTTTTCCTGGCCAACCAAGTGAATATCCACATATTATTACTAAATTGGTCACAAAGTATTTCAATATGTGATGTTGAAAATTAACAGAATAAATGTATCACTACTGCAGAGTAAGTGAAAATTAATGGCTACAGCCTTAACTTGTTTTGTACCTTCAAATGATTTTACTTCTCTAGATCTCACTTTGCATAACTGTAAAATGAGAGGCTTGGACCAGATCCTTCCAAAGGATTCCAATAGTTCTGGTCATTTCTTACAATATAATCATATAGGGAAATAAATGCCAAACAAAATAATTTCTGGCTAGACTGATGACATTTAATGCAAGTGTTTTTCTTTGAAAAAATTTTTTTTCAAAATCAGAACTCTGAATTTTACAACAAGGTAAAAGATGTTTAATACTGATAAAGGTACCATAGTTGAAATATTACTCATTCTTTCTTGTGTTATTAAAATATTCAACATTAAATGTCAATAAAGTCAATAACGATGCTCACCGATACTGATATGTCCTCACTTTTTCTCTTAACACTGGAGTCAAATAAGACATTTCTCCCTCGTCTTTCACAGTCTTGATATACAATCAGTCGAATCTGGCTTGGATCAAACTCTGGTAAAGGCCAACTTGAAAGAAAAACAAAGATCCTCAGAGTTACTTTAATAAGTATTTCACATATATTCTTAGGACTAAAACACGTATCTATAATAAGGCCTTATGTTGTATTACTGCTGCAGAATATGTAGGAGATTTTTATATAAGATATCACTAGTTTAGGCCAAAAAGTTATGCAGCTATGACACTTTAGATTAAAAAGTAAAAATAATATAAAGGCAAAAAATTACTTTTATTTAAAAATAAATGTAACAACTATCACCTAGTACATATAAAATATAGTCATCCCATATACATTTAAAAAGAGTTAATAAATATGGATATGTACATTTAACATAATGAAAATATGTATTGATTTCATGGCACAGACCTAGATGACAAAGTAAGGGTAAACTCATATTTTTTAGTAAATTTGTTACTATTTCTTCAATATGGAAATGTAAAACCTAAAACAGCTTTTAGTTTAAATAACAGCAAAGGACTTAAAAGACAATAAATAAATCAAAAAAGTGAAGAACTACCAAGTGTAGTAAAAATTCTCATACGCTGCTGTGAATATAAATTGTTACAATCGCTTCAGAAAATAGGCTTTTACAAATTTACATTTATACTAACTAAATAAACAAATCCTAGTAAAAATGAAGTTAACCCCAGGAATTCCATTCCAGAAAAGTTTAACACAATGAATGAACTTCAGCTGTAAGCAAAAACATGGATAAACCACAAGCAAAACAAGTCAGACAATGACACACACACACAAATAGTTAAAAACAGGCAAGGTTTTATCTATGGATATATACTTAGTTTCTAAAACTATAAAAAAAAAAACAAAGGAAGTTAATAGTCTCAAAAGTTTGAAGAGTGATTGCCTCTAGGAGGGCGGCGAGGGGTAAGGGTGTCACCAGAAAGGACCATACAAGGTGGATCTGGGCAATAACTATGCTTTATGTTTTGACTAGACAGTGCTTACACAGATTTTCATTTTACAATATAAAAAATTTTTTAAAAAGCACAAAGCACTTGTTTTATACACTTTTACCCATGCATTATATTTCACAATTTAAAAGATAATAGGGTGGGCAAGAAGATAGGCAAGAGAAAGAAAGAGAGAAAACGACGAACTGAATAGTAGAGTAATATTTGGCTAACTGAACACATTACAAATGACAGGACAGCTGTTAAAACATGGGGAAATGGCACGCCAAGAGTTATTTGTCATTAGTTACATCAGGCTAAATCATCAATTCCTCACAAGCTATCAGGCACAGCTCTTAATTGGGTTCCTTCATTACCTTAAGAACTTTAACCCTAATACTGTCAGTGCATGTGAAACTACTTATAACTGTCAACATAAAACATCTTCATCTCAAGTTCTTAACAGAAAAAACAATTTTCTAGCACTAACACACAAAATGTTTTCTCTTGTCGAATCCTTAGCAAATGTCTATGTGTCATTAATTGATGAAGACCTGCCCTAGACAGCCAAGCTAAATCACAGATTCATTTCTATACCACAATGATTTGCACCACACTGAACTGCTTTTACTAAATTGTGCTTTCATACTGGACAAAGAAAACTGAAAAAGAACAGACTGACATAAGATGAAAATGTAGAAAGCAATCTCACAGAAACCAATGAAACAGAACATTTTAGAAAAGAAGAAATACCATGGCATTCACTAAAAAGCATCCACTGGCTTTAGAAACATAAGTGGCTGGTGACCGTGGCAAGGACAGTTCTGAGGAGTAATGAGTACAGAGGACTAAAGAGTGAATGGAAGCAGAGAAAGTAAGCAACTGTCAAGGAAAGAGGAAAAGAAAACCAGTCATCAATTAGAGTGACAGGTATTTTTTTTATTAAGAAATGACACATCTGAACAAGTTTACATATTTATTGTTGACAAAGGATCTGAAGTGGAAGAGAAATACAAAGGCCTCTGAGGAAGTGGAGAAAAACAGGATACGAAACACAGGTAAAAGGATGATGTCAAATAAAAGAATAGCTGTTGCACTAGAATGAAAAGAAAGGAGGTAAAGATGTACCTGTATGCAGAAAGATTTTTGGATAGAAAGATAAAACGTTGAAGGAATTCATGTCTAAGAAACCTATTTTCTTTGTCAAGTAGATGAAGGGAAATAAGGGAAAGGTGGTAAGATGAGGGGATTGTAGAGAGTAAAAAAAAAAAAAAGAGAGAACATGGTTGTTGGAAAAGAAAATACAATCCTGCACCACATAACATTTCAGACAACAATAAACTGCATGTAGGATGGTGGTCTCACAAGACCACCATTATAAATGAGCTGAAAGATTACTGTCGCCTAGTGGTATAGATGTTGTAAAACGATAGCATGATGCATTTCTCATATACTTGTGGTGTTGCTGGTGTAAACAAACCTACTGTGCTGCCAGAAATAAGTAGTAAAGAATACTGTGATGGAAATAAATAATAAACTAATAAGTATAGAAAGCAGAATTAGCCAAGCAGAAGAAAGAATCTCAGAGCTCGAAGACCAAAACACAGAACTAACCCAAACTGACAAAAGCATAGAAAAGAAGCTCAAAAAAAAAAATCAGAAAAAAAACCTCCAAAAGATGAACGATCACTTCAAGAGACCGAACCTAAGAGTAATTGGCCTTCCTGAGGCAGAGAGAGAAACAGAGGCAACACTGGAAACAAACATTTCTTGAAATCATTCAAGAAAACTTCCCTCATCTCATCAATGTTGAAAATATTCAAACACAAGGGATTCAGAGAACCCCCGCCAGAAAATAAATGAGAAGACCAACTCCCAGACACATAATAATTCGCCTAAACAAAGCAGGTATAAAAGAAAAAATCCTAAAGGCTGCAAGAGAAAAAGGTCAGACTACCTACCAGGGAAGACCAATTAGAATAGCAGCAGATTTATCTACAGAAACCATGCATGCTAGGAGAGCTTGGAGCCCTATCTTCAAAGTTGTAAAAGATAAACAATTTCAACCAAGAATAACCTATCCAGCCAAACTAAGCTTCATCAGTGAGGGGGAATTGAAATCTTTCCCAGATATCCAATCCCTAAGAACCTACGCTGCCACCAGACCACCTCTACAAGAAACACTTAAGAAAATATTGAACACAGAAGAAAAGGAAAAAAGAACAACAACGTTCTTCACAAGAGTACAAGCAAAAGCAAAAGGTTGAAAACACACATGATCCAACACACAAACAGGAAGAACAACAACTCTGTAAGAACATTATGACAGGGATCAACTCTCACATTTCAATAATTAGTTTGAATGTGAAAAGACTAAATGTACCACTGAAAAGACATAAAAAGGCAAGATGGGTAAAATATCGCCAGGCAACAATCTATCGCCTTCAAGAGACTCACCTCACTAGAAAGGACACTCACAGACTCAAAGTAAGAGGATGAGAAATTTTCAGGCGAATGGAACACAAAAGAAAGAAGGAATCGTGATCTTCATCTCAGACAAAATACCCTTTAAGCTATCAAAAATTAAAAAAGATACAGAAGGCCACTACATAATGCTAAAAGGTTCAATCCATCAACAAGAAATATCCATCCTAAACATATATGCACCCAACATAGGAGCACCAACTTTCATAAAGCAGCTCCTAGGTAAACTAAAAAAAGATATCAATTCCATTACCATCATAGCTGGGGACTTTAATATGGCACTCACAACCCTAGACAGATCATCAGGACAAAAAAAATCAGCAATGAGATCCGAAACCTCAGTATGACTCTTGATCAATCAAATGGACTTAATTGATACCTACAGAACCCTCCATCCAAAGACCACAGAATACACATTCTACTCATCACCGCATGGAACATACTCTAAGATCGACCACATACTTGGCCATAAATCAAGCATTAGCAAATTTAAAAGGACTGAAAATTTTACCATGCACCTTCTAACACCACAGTGGAATAAAAGTAAACATTAACACCAACAAGGTCCCCCCAAAACCCACAAAGACATGGACACTAAACAGCATGATGCTAAACAACTCCTGGGTCAATGATGAAACCAAAACAGAGATTAAAAGATACCTGGAAACAAACGAAAATGAAGAAACATATTACCAAAATTTCTGGGACGCCATGAAAGCTGTAGTAAGAGGGGAATTTATATCCCTACAAATGCACATGAAGAAAATGGAAGGATCACAAATTAAGAGCCTAACAAGCCACCTAAGGAAGCTGGAAAAGCAAGACCACAAAAACTCGAATTTCAGCAGAAGAATCCAGATCACCAAAATAAAAGCCCAAATCCAGGACATAGAAGACAAAAAGATAATACAAAAAAATCAATGAAACAAAAAGCTGGTTCTTCGAAAGGATAAACAAGATCGATGGTCTCCCAGCTAGACTGACCAAGAAAAAGAGAGAAAAAGCCCAAATAAACACAACCAGAAACACAAAAGATGAAGTCACATCTGATCCTGAAGAAATACAAAAGATCATTAGAGACTATGTACACTTGTATGGAAACAAACTTGAAAACTTTTCAGAAATGGAGGACTTTCTGTTATCACATAACCTGCCTAGGTTGAAACAAGAAGAAATTGAGACCCGAAATACCAATAAAAATCAAGGAAACCGACTATGTAATAAGAAAACTACCTACAAAAAAAAAGCCCTGGACCAGATGGCTTTCCAGCAGAATTCTATAAGACATTTAAGGAGGAGCTGATACCAATCCTACTGAAGGTATTACAGGCGACTGACAAAGATGGAACTCTCCCCAAATCGTTTTATGAAGCTAACATCATATTGATACCCAAGCCAGGTAAAGACCCAAGAAAGAAAGAGAACTACAGGCCAATATCTTTGATGAACATAGATGCTAAAATTCTCAACAAGATCCTAG